TCCATCTAAGGCCCGCCCAATAAAAAAATAAAACATAATACTGCTATCATCTACATATTCAAACACAGCTCCTAAAGTCAAACTTAAGGGCAATGTCAATTTTAAGTAAAATTTAAGAAGTCCTCCACTAACATGAGTCATATAACCAAAAGGAAACTCTTATGGCCTAACAGGTAGAATGAGGAAACGTGCATGGCTGAACAACAATACTGTATTATTATGACAGGAAAATGTTAAAATCACTTTTTTCTTTTTGATGACTTTTTTAAGGCTAAAACTTGCCCACTAATAAAATATATATAAAATATATTCTTTATCATCAAATCTGCTACCAATAACGAATAGAATAAAAAAATTCCCTTCGCCCAAAGAAATTAAAAGCTATTTTGGCTGAAGGAAGTACATCTCTTATTTGCTAAGAAGCTGGCTCCTAAAAACACCCAGAGACAAGAGACAAGCCTAACATTGTCTAAAACCACTATATGATAAAAAATACCAACAAAGATGGGAATATAATTAATAAGCAAACGGAACAAACTGTGAGCCTACATCAGAAGACCTAACTACAAGTTTCAGAGCCAAACCCTATTATAACCACAGACAACTCTGTAAAATGAAGATCAATCTCAAGAAAAAACATCTGTACCAAGTTCAATCAAATGAATTAAGCATAGCCAAACAGGTGAAAGAGATAGGAACAACTAAAAGTAAAGTAGAGGTAATAACTAAAATATGACTTATCAAATGGAGAAAAGCAGTCAGTATTCAACTCAGTATAAGACCAGAAAAGCCTATCTCTAGAAAGTACCTGTTAAAATAGTGCTATCCCCCCGCCCCCCCGTTCACACATTGAATCCTAACTTCTATCATGACAATATTAAGAGATGTGACCTTCGGGGTGTTGGCTAGATCTCAGGAGGACAAACCCCTGTGCTTGGGATCAGTGCACTCATTTAATAGACCCAAGGGAGCTTATCTGACCTCCCTCCACTGAGGACATAACAAAAAGGCATCACCAGACATCAGGAAACTGGCCCTCATCACCTTCCCATTCTGGCAGTGGCTTGGCTTTGGACTTCACTGGACTGAATTATAAGAAATACATTCCTGCTATCATGGCTACCAATTCTGTATTTCCGCCCCAAAAGGACTAAGACAGATGGTACAATGGAAAACAACGTATCTGTTAAATTTCTAAGAGAAAATCTTTGAGGGCTGAGCATTTAGCTCAGTGGGACCATGCCTGTCTCACAAGCACAAGGTCCTGAGTTTGATTCCTGATTATCGCCCCCCAACCCCCAAAGAGAAAAAGAAAGAAAGAAAATCTTTGAAGAGAAGTAGGTATAAAGGGAAAAACTGGGAATGAGGAAACTCATTTATTAGCTTGCAACCTCTGGGCCAGTCACTCAACTCCTTCCAGCTCAATTATTCCATGAAAACAAAATATTATCAGGATAAAATAGCTGTCAAATAATGTTTAAGGTTTTATATTCCAATACAGTATTCATGATAGGCAATATAACTTTCAGGTAACTAACTTTTCAAATCAGCCTGTTTTATGTGATTAATTTTCTGCTGTTTTCTAAATTTGTACAATAAATGGCTTTAGCTTTATAATTAGAAAAAGATTTACTAAAAATAAAATGACAAAAAGGGAAAGCCTAATCAAGAATAAATTAACATTGAGGCGATACTCTTAAGTGAAATAAATAGAACACACAAGTGTAAATACCGAATAGTTTCTCTGGTGCGAGAAACTGAAAGTGTAAATAAGGATTAAAATGATTAAAACAAATAATTGATAATGTGAAATAGGAAGAAAAGGTCCAAAGGGATAGGGGAAGTGGGAGGGGAAGGGGAAAGGAAAGAAGGGAAAGGAAAAATTATGAGAAAAGGAAAAAATGGAAACAAAGTCTATGTAAATAGGAAAGGGTGGAGGGGGTGAAGGGAGGGCAGGGAATAGGGAAAAAATAAGAACCAAGATACATCATGTACAGGTACAAGTTCCCAATGATAAATGTAAACATACTGTATACCTAAGATGTACCAATAAAGAACTTAAGGAAAAAAAAAAGAATAAATTAATAGTTTATTCTTACATGGAAAATACAAAACAAGATTTCCACCTTTTAATAAAAGCTGACGTTTTACTTCCCAAGTAACTAAACTGAGTAGTAAATTACAAAATAATACTAAATACTTACATGGTTGTATATGTACTTTGGTACCCATACTGACATCACCCTAGACCAGTGATGGTGAACCTATGGTATGCATTGCTGTTTTTCTTTTAAGACAAGAGATGTTAATGTATTAGTTGCTTTTTCTCAATTAATACCTCAGTATTCGGGTTTAATTGCAGTGTTGGCACTCTGCGATAAATAAGTAGGTTCTGGATTGCAGTTTGGACATTTGTCTCTAAAAGCTTCATCACCATTATCCTAGAGTGACAGAATTGAAGCCATGTCCACCTCTTTTAGCTATACCTGGAGCACACCACACCATGTACTCCCAGGCTACCAGTCAACACAATCAGTAATGCAATCATTTGCCACTTAGGCAAACCAAGGAAGCCCCTAAATTCCTAATGAATACAAAAATTAATGCTGTATCACAAGATCCTAATTATTAAGTATTTCAAGCACAAAGAGAATCTGTCTACAAACAAAAAGCATTTAGCACCCACAATATGAATTTCTACATATTTTTCCTTCATGTTGTTTTCTAGACATGACAAAAAAAAAGATGTGTCAGGAAGAACAGTCTGTAGAGAGGAGGCTGACAGGTGCCACAGAAATCCTGAGTTCTAGGATAGGTCCAGTGAATAAATTACCACATCCAGCCCTCAGGTCCACTCAGTAGGAATAACAGCATCTGCTCAGGATGTTTATGCAATGCAAAATTAAACAAATCTGGGAAAGCACCGTAAAAACCAGGGTGCAAGATAATATCATCACCTGTGACAAACAGGGAGGAGTGACAGCCAGAGCAGGCAGACCACCCTGGTGGAGGTGGCCTTCCAGTTAGCCCAATTCTGCTTATGGGAAGTTGCTTTCTTACCTCTTTCTGTAGATTAGAAAGCTGAGATGAGAGGCTCTCAATCCTCATACGACTTTCCATCAGTTCTTCCCTGGCACTGTTGACAGTAGAAGTATTCATTTCTGAGGACAGCCTGGCATTCTCAAGCTACAAGAAGCAGCAAACATAGTCTTATCTAGTAAGTTAGAACAAATGAGGAAGCATGATTCACCTCAAGGCATTTCAAACTCAAGTCCTGCTGGTAACTGGCTTATGAAACACAGGAAAAGCGTGAAGTTTGATGACGTCTGAATTACCTTGTCAGCAGACTTATAGATTTACTTCCTAAAATATGAACTTTAACATAACTGAGTTTTTACCCAAAGTTTATAACTTCAATATTTCAACTGTTAAAACTTTAATGCCTAGAATAATACTGCTAATAAGGTAAATGAACTATAGCAACTGGACAGTGGTGATACTGTAGGAAAACACCACCCGTATCTCTAACCCATCAAATCTACCACAGAATAGATTCCCTCAAACCAGACAGAAATCCTTTCAGAAGCAAAAATAGCTCCTCAAGGGACCTGGGATTTAGCTCAGTGGTGCCGCTGCCTGCCTCACAAGCGCAAGGTCCTGAGTTTGATCACCAGTACCAAAAAAACCCAAAACAACCCTCAAATAAAAACAATACCCTATTCCTCCAAATACTCACAGCATTCTATTTTGCGCATATGTGTGTTGGGCACATGTTTCTATATGTCTTCCCTGCCTCCTTTTAAAGCCACAGTCTGTGACTGATCCTAATTTTAGCTCCTTCACCATCTAGCTCAATGCCCAACATTCAGTGACAGAGACCTGGAGGTACTCTTGATAGATCTCTCACTTTCACTAGCCAATACTACTTCTTCCTTGTTGGAAGAAAGTATTTCCGATGCTTGGGTCTTAACTCTTATAATATGACATGAATGACCAACAGGACAAACAAGATAAGCCCTTACCTGTAATAAGAATAAAAGTGAAATAACTGTACTTTCCTCTTGCCATTTCTAGTAGTATTTTTATAGGAAACTGCATTTTAAAAAAATATCCATTTTCTATATTCACAATGACTAAGGGAAATCACTTTATAAAAACCAGAACAAAACATTACTTCGTGCTGTGACTGTGGAGTTCTGAAGAGAGGACTCACCTTGGCATGGTAAGTCTGCTCGAGCTCCTCCTTGTACAGCCTCACTTGGGCGTCGTGCTGCTCTCTCATCTCATGCAAGGCCTGAGCCAGCTTGTACTCATACTCAATCTGACGCCCAGAATCCACCTCTACCAAGCGCGTTTCATGCTTCCTTCTGGTCTCATTAATCTCCTGGGGGGAGAAAAATGATATAAATCCAAGTTACTCTCCATGGCTGCACCGGTACAAGTCTGAGTGACATCAAGGCCATGTGAAGCTTTACACACTTGCCTGTCCTAGGAAATGTGAATACACATTGCTTCTTAGTTTTCAGGTGAGAATATTTCTAGATGGAACTAATGATATAAATGGTAGTAATCAGAGCTCCAAGTGTTTTCGATTTCTTTTCAAGAGTATACCTACTTTATTTCCCTGAAGGCAAGGAGTGGCCTCAATGATTTACCACTAAAGTACCATGTCAGCATAAATAACTAGACAGGGCACCACATTAAACACACAACTGCTACTGTTTTTCTTTCTTTTTTTTTGGTACCGGTGATCAAGCTCAGGACCTTGTGCTTGGGAGGCAGGCAGTAGAACCACTGAGCTAAACCCCCGGGCCCTGTTATTGTTTTTCTAACCTGCTTTTGATAAACCCTTTTAAAGACACCTCTGAAAAAGAGATGCATCGCAAGTTAAACTTTGCAGGCAGACAACTTCAACATTTACAAGATTTTCTTTGTTTTGTATTTGGTTTGAGACAGGATCTTGCTATGTAGGTCAGGGTAATCTTGAACTCACTATGTAGCCCAGACTGGCCTTGAACTTGCAGTGATCTTCCTGCCTCAGCTTCCCAAGTGCTGGTATTACAGGTGTATACCACTATGCTTGGCTTTTTACAATATTTTCTTAGACACAGTAATAGATAGGGCAAGCAATTTATACATTTCTTACTAAATGATGTTAAGCTATTGATGGCAACTGATATAGGGCCTTATTAATATTATTTGATTGACTCAACTAAATATGATAATTCACTATTAAAGAATGAAATAGAAATGATCTTTTACTGTTTAGGAAACTAAAATATGGAATCTGGGGCTAAGAACGTAAGTCCAAGAATAAAATGTTCATTTAGGTTCTTGCTATAAAAAAAATGCAACAGATTATCTTTAAAGGCAATAATTATGTTTAACTCACTAAAGTTCTTTGTGTACCTTAGTGCATATTTTTTTTATACATTTCCTCATCTTTCTCTTAATCACTGCAGAGGAAAATACACTTGACAGAATCGGATAAATCAGAAAACCATGGTTCAAATCCCAGTTCTGCTATAAATTTCCCAGACCCTATTCTGTCCAATGAAGCAAATGACACTTAAGTCATGAAAACACACAAATGAAAACTTTAGTTCAACAAATACTGAGCCTCTCCTAAGAGTGCACCCTTTGTCTACCTCCCTCTGTCTTTTCTTTCTTCCCTAACTGTTCACAATGAGGAAGTTTGGCACAATCACTGAATAGTGTCCTCAATGTGGGAAAAAAAGAGGAAAATTTTAAAATCATTCTCAAAAAGGCAAAAATTAAAAATTCAGAAATGTTAACCACTCTAAAAATATTAAATTACGTTCCACTAATGTCATTTTTGAATTATTATTTTATATACAAACTGTGATTTTACAAAGAAAAAATATTCCTGGTTGTCTACACACGTCAACAATAACAACAGATGAGAGACAAAGCAAAACAAAAATATAAGTCAACTGCATACCTTGTGTGGTGGCTCATTCCTATAATCCCAGCACTGAGAAGGCTTAAGTAGGAGGGTTGAGAGTTCAAAAGATGTTTAAGGCCAGCCTGCAGTACATGGCAAGACCTTGTCTCAAAACAATAAGCTGGGCATGTCGGCACACACCTGTAATCCCAGCACTTGGGAGGGTGAGGCAGGAGGATGGCCGGGAGTTTGAGGCCAGCCTGGGCTACATAAAATGCGTTCAAGCCCAGCTTAGAAGCAAGACCTTGTCTCCAAAAGAACAAAACACACAATAAAAGTCTGCTTTCATGAAGTCACATTTGTCAACTATTATGTAACAGTGCTTGCTGCAAGTTATCCTTTCAAATATAATATTTCACTGATACCACTTCTTGGAAGAAAAATAACGGTAGAGTAACCCCTGACTTACGAACTCAATTTGTTCCCGAGGGCTGGTTATACCTCAAGTTGGTCAATGGAGGCTCAGGCTCCACTACACAGCCTTCAAAGTCTCTCTGCCATATACAGGCAGATCTCAGTGTCCTTCGAGAGACACTGGCCCAGGATTCTCAATGAACCCCACACAGGAAAGGATGCTGTAGTGTTCCTTCCAGAACTCTTTAAGGGTTAAATCTGTATCCGAAACCATCTGGAAGCATAAGCGGCCAGGATTCGGGTATAACTCAAGACTTTGGTCATAAGTTAAAACTAAAATTCCAGTCATAACCCAAGTTGTTCATATGTCAAGCCAGTCATAACTCAAGGGTCCACTATAACAGTATTTTACACATTGTATTTTTTTTTTTTTTTGGTACCAGGGATTGACTTGGGACCTTGCACTTGTGAGGCGGGCAGTGGAACCACTGAGCTAAATCCCCAGCAACAGTATTTTGTTTTAAATAAGAAACTGATTGCTTGTCCAATGCTCTTGATATCAACAATGTCTATTTAGGTAAATATTATTAATAAAAATGATCAGATTTCTATTAAGTTATATTTTCTTCCAATTAAAAAAGTGTAACTTCAACAATGAATTCCTAGTATTAAAATCATTGTTAGTCACTGTTTTCTTTCTTTCTTTCTTTCTTCTTTTTTTTTTTTTTTGTTGGTACCGGAGATCGAACTCAGGTCCTTGGGCTTGCGCAGCAGGCGGCAAAACCACTGAGCTAAATCCCAGGCCCTGTTAGTTTACTGTTTTCAAAATTACACTACTTCTAAAACATTACAATACTTAAATGCATACTCCTCTCCCTGGGTTAATTCTAGTCCTCTTCAATTTTAAGGGAATATACATTCCCCTTTCTTTAATTTTATTTCTTCCAGTTTGGCAATAGTTGCATCGTTGCCCCGTTGATCACAGCAGTTAAAAATGTAAATGCTACTTCAGGTTTTACATGTGTACCTATGAATGATGAGAACTCCCATGCTTCAGGATGGCCCTCAATGATTGCTGCCGCCTCACATTCACACCCAAGCATAATGTGCTTCCCCATACTGTATCAGGGTTCATGTGTATGACCAACAGATGGCAACAGTGTGTCACTTCTGAGATTGGCTTATAGAAAATAATATAGCTTCTGCATTGGTCTTGCCCCCCCCCCACATATAATGAGCAGCCCTGTGGAAACCATGTGCCACAGAACTGATATCTCTTGCCAACATTCATGTGAGTGAGGTCCAAGGCAATTTCTCCAGCTCAGGATCAAAGCTTAAATGAAACCTCAAGAGACTCTGAAATAGAACCATCCTTTAAGCAGCTTTCAGATTCCTGACCTACAGACATTAACGCTGAGCTGAGCACAGTGGCATGCACCTATAATCTCAGAACTCTAGGAGGCTGAGGCAGTACTGCAAGTTCAAACCCACCCTGGGCAACATAGTGACTTGGCAAGACAATCTTAAAATAAAAAATTAAGAAAAGGGCAGGAACTATAGCCTGATGTAAAGACCCAGGACAATCAACCAATCAATCAATCAGGTCTGTGGCTCTAGGTCAGTGGTGGTAAACCTATGGCACGTGTTTGTTTATAAGACAAAAGACGTTAATGCATGGGTTGTTTTTTCTAAACTAAAACCTCAGTATTCAGGTTTAATTGCAGTGCTTGCACTTTGTGATAAATAAGTACATTTTAGATTGCAGTTTGGCACTCATTTCTAAAAGGTTTGCCATCACTGTCCTAGGTTAATTTTGTTAGGAAGTAGTAGGTAACTGTGTTAGATAATAAATCACAAATGTTTAAACATAGTGACAGGAATTACCTGTGACCAAGCCTTTATAAGTCAGATGAAGTAAAATTTTATCTGTTTACTGTATTAGATTCACAGATGCAGTGTTTTAACAACAGTACCTTGAACAGCAGTACCTTGAACAGCTGACATATAAACTCTTTCCTAACGCCAAATCTTATCATATCCATCTGATACATTGCTAATGGGAAAGAATCATGAATAAAATGTATTTATAATTTATACTATGTATGTCTTTTCCTTTAAAAAGTAAAACTGTATATAATTACCTCTTCATACATGTTTTTACGAAACTCCAAGTCCTCAGTAAGGCTCTGACAGCGATTCTCCAAATCCACTTTAAGTAAAGTTTCATCTGCTAACTGTTTTTTGGCAGCAGCTAATGAGGCTTCCAACTATTACAAGGAAAAAGAATTGTGATAAAATTTATACAGAAGTCACTTAGCAATGAATTTGATATGTATGAATCAAATATGTATTATAGTTCCTATATATTTATCAATGTGATTCCTCATTTTAACCTTTATCACAGAACTGTGTTCCTTTATTGGTCTACTACACAGAGTACCATTAGCAGGTCAGCTATCAAACTGATAACTGCCAAAGGGAAATAGAAGAGACCTTCCTATCACTCATGCTTTGCAAATCAATGCTTTTTAGCCAACCACTTTCATTTCTTCTTGTGTTCAAAGGAACAGCATTAGGACATCTCTTTTGCCATTTCACATTTTGGTACAATAATGGCATACTTGGAGGGTAAGAGACAGAGTAAGTATTTGCACAAGAGAGAAAGAGTATATAATCCAGATAGCGTGACTGAGGTAATCATACTCTGTATGTTAGCTACCTCAAGACTTGTTCAGGCAAGCTACCCAAAAAAAAGGCTTAAATAAAGTTCCCCCCAAAATAAAAATAAAATCAATCAGGTGAACCATAGCTTAAGACAGATGGCAATTAACCTGCCCAATACAGTGAAGAAGCAGTTTGCCTTACCTGGGCAATTTGATCCTTCAGATCCTCCAAATCTCCTTCCAAACTTTTTTTGTCACCAAGTGCAGTAGCTAGAGCTGCATCTTTAGAGTTCAGTGCTGCTTCATATTCTCGAAGCTTGATCTGGGCTCCATTAAGATCAGATTCTTTCTTAGCATAACTGTAATACAATTGAAAAAGAGCACAGACACAAATTATACCTCTGACTTCAGGCCTTCTCCTTGCTTGTTCAAGAGAAAAATAAAAGCAGCTTAAATAAGGGCTGCCCAAACCTCCTAAAAGCAGAGAAGCAATTTAGGAGGATTAGATCTAGAGTTTTTGGTAGATAACAACATTCTCTTTCAAGGACACGATTATTAATGACTTGGGATCAAAGAAGTCCAGTATAAGTTATCTCTGAGTAAGAGCACATCTCTTGGCCAGGGATTTAGCTCAGTGGTTTTGCCGCCTGCTGTGCAAGCGCAAGGACCCAAGTTCAATCCCCAGTACCAAAAAAAAAAAAAAGCACATCTCTTGCCCTGGTTCTATAAAGAGGCTCACTGAGAAAAGGTATGTCTGAAGAAATGGAGGTATACTTTTAAATACAATGAATAAATATATAAATCATGATACACAGAAGATATCAGTCAAAATATACAATGAGATTAACTATATGAGAATTTAAATAATTTTATAACTTAATGATATATCATACAGAAATTCACTTGCCATAAGAAATAACTGACCTCTGGAAGCTTTCAAGCACCTTCCATTTCCTATATAAGAGATAATTTGAGATTTCCCAAACTATAAATAAGAGCCTAATACCTTGCAGAAAAATTATCTCAATTTATATTATTAGCTACCAAAAACGAAATGCTAATTGAGATTCACTTTTCTCTAAATGTTACTTTTTATTAAATGGAGCTATTATAAAATTACAAGTTCTTTTAGATAGTCTGTCCAACAATTATTTTAAAGGACAGTATCTTTCATTCAAATAATTCAGTTATCATTAGTTACATGGGAAAAGCCTCACTAATATCAAAATTCTTAGTATGTATTCTTAATTAAAACTGTTATTGTAGAAGAGTATTTTTACTACTAGCATTTGAGGATGAGCTAAGAGGAATCTTTAACAATTTTTAAATAATTTTGTAATATTAAAATAAAGAAATTAACTGACCAAATGTTAAGAAAATATAATTTAAAGAGATTTGTTACTCATTTTGGTATCATAAAGCAACTATACATATACATGTATGTATAAAATCTTAACAAAAATGTCCCCCTAAATCCTGTCTTTTTAAAGGCCACTAGATGGCAGGCTTTAACTGAAACTAGTGTGTGTGGCGGAAGACCAACTGTTTAAAAAGGGGTGGAGGGATCCCATGCAGTCACAATTTGTGGCTAAAATGGCTTGTTTAGGTGTTCAGACTCCTCAAGAATGAAGTTAAGCTTTTTAAGGAGCCACTATTTTATCCCACTGACCAAAGTTATAATAGGACACATATCATAACACATAAGATTTAACATGAAGTACTATTTTTGTACACCATTAAACAAAACTTAAAAAAGCTACTGACTCAAAGTTAATTGTGTGGGCTAAGGACACAGCTCAGTGGTGGAACACATGTCCTCCATGTTTGAAGGCTTGGGTTTGAGCCCAGCACTAACAGAACAAATCAGAGTAACTACTGAGCCATTCAGTGTTTAAATCTCAGGTGATAATGTGATGCTACTCCAAGCAGTGCTTTATGGCTATGCTTAACTAAATCAAGAAACAAAGTCTTTAAAGGCAAAGCCCATACTTATTTGTCCTTTATTTTCTATATAGGAAGCCTGCAGATAATGCCTATTTTGCTAAACATTAAAAGAATCTAGGCCTGGGAGTGTAGCTCAGTGTTAAGAGTTCAAGTTTGACACACATGAGGCCCTGGGTTTGATTCCCAGCACTGGAAACAAAACTCGACTACATAGCTACCCCCAAATCCCTTCCTGCTTTTTTCATCGAACATAAAATACTATGTCTTTTTTCAAGAAGAAAACAGTAACTGTGATAGTTCCATTACCTCTGTAATTCAATCCTAAATATTCTCCCTATTTCCCTGCCAATTTCCAAGACTAGATTAATTATCTTAAAAATTTTACAAGATTAAGTGCTGGAGATTTAGGTCAGTGGGACTGCACCTGCCTGGAAGTCCAAGGTCCTGAGTTCAATTCCCGTACCAGAAAAACAAAAACAAAAAATTTATAAGATTATACCCAAGTCACCATCAAATAAGAGCCACAAATCACATGACCTGCCAATACCACGGAGGCATGCACTGAGGTAACATTTTGAGTTTTTTGTTGTTTTTGAGACTGGCCTTGATCTCAGTATGTAGCTCAGGATGGCCTCCCAAATGATCCTCCTGCCTCAGTCTCCTGAGTGCTGGGAATACAGGTGTGTGGCCACTACACCCAGCAATATTTTGAACATAATTTATTAATTTTCTAACTTTATTATTATTTTTCATTAATTAAATATGACATGGAAAGTCCAAATGTAGTTACAGTACCTGGTCAAAGTGCAAAAACCTGCAGAACTGACATCCTAAAGCAACACATACTAATGTCCTGCAGCTGTCACTTGAGCACAGAATTACAACTGACAATGACCCAGAAAAGACTACAATTTAGATAGGAATCTAAAGCTATTAGAAGGTATCAGTTAAGATATTGGAATACATTTTTCTTTTGATTGCATTTCCTGGTTGGGTTTGTTCAGTGTTATTGACCTGCCTAGCTAAACCATTTGTGCCTCCAGATAAAGAGACCTTCCAGTGTTTTCATTTAAATTCAACATGTAACTCTAATGCTGGAAATATGCACGCTCCTGACAATAAGTCATAAAACATATCCATTTCCTTTAGATATTTTACACAAGCTCCAAAACTCCAACTGCAGCCAGAAAAACAAGCAGTTTTATATAATGCAGTTACACTTTATCTTAAGAATTTCCTCCTTTAACAAAGCTTTTATTTACATAAGCTTGAATTTCACTAGTCAAATCAAGCTATCTAATCAACTGTCTAACCATTAAAGAAATAATCAGCTTGAAAAAATACGTATACAAAAAAAGAAAAGAAAAAATACACATACATTCCTATTTACATTCTATACAAGTGACTCAAGATTTAACAGAGCTAGCATTAGTAATAAAATATAATTGTGCTTTCTCCAATAGAACTAGCACCATTAACTTTCTCTAACACATCCCTATCCCCTCCTGAGGCCTGTAAGAATACTCTCTATATGCAGTTGGTTATTCAATTATTATACTGTTCTCAATCGGTTTGAACTCCTGATTACCTCTTACCACCAGCAATAATAACATTATTATCCACCGCTTTAACCATCTTGGTTTTTCAACATACCACCACTTTGATATTGACTTGTTTTAGGATCATCATTTAAACATTTGCTTCTGCACTGAAATACTTGACACTGGAACTCAATGCCTGAACTTTGCTCAACCTCTGCACTATAAATCCTGATTGGATGATTCAATCTTCCAGTCCTTGTGTGTTCATTTGCATAGGAGGACAACTCTAGACCAATCCTACCAATAAGAAAGTGGAGATCTGAAAATGCACCCAATTACAAAACTGCTGGAAATGCTGAATGGAGCTCTTAGGGAAATATATCATTACTAGATATTAACTGTAGAACACATTTTTCCAAGTCATATATAATAAGATACAGAAAGTCATTCAAGACGTAGTAAGTAGAGATAATTACTTAAAAATTAATTAGTAAGCATATCATACCCATGAACTCAAAAAAGGCAGGAAATTAAGAATTAGTACAAAATAAATTTATAAGTAAATTTAGACTAATATTGAGAGCTAATTAGAAGCTGATTACAAAACCGTTTCAATTAGACATTGGCAAGTTATTGCCTTTCTATTAACATTTCCTTAGTTTGTGTCACAGCTAACAAATGCTCAGCTGAATAAAATTTCTAGTTTGTTCAGTAGCACCATCATAAAAAATAAAAGATTCTCTAAATCACTCATAAACTAGCTAGGGACAAAGAATCTGTGTTCACTTATAGCACAGGACCTATATACAGACCCATATACATCTTTGGTTTTCTTCTTTTATCAGGACCATAATTTTCATTATTTTCTCAAGTATTTTTGTCTTTCTTCCATTTTCATATTCAAAAATTCATGTGCAAACAGTTACATTAAGTAAAGACATAAATTATAGAAGGTCTCTTAGTTGGTAGAATAGTTTAAAAAAGTATAATTTCTAGATATTAAACATCCATAAAATTTGACATTTTTATTATACTACATATACACAAATGTGAACAAGGACAAGAGTTGGTGTTCAGTAAGTGCTTAGTAAATGAATAAAAGCTACCAGATGTGTTCTTATGGGAAAACTCATTCACGGGCCGGGGATTTAGCTCAGTGGCACTGCACCTGCCTTGCAAGTGCAAGGTCCTGAGTTCAATCCCCAGTAGCACAAAAAAAAAAAGAATTTCACGGGCCGGGGATTTAGCTCAGTGGCACTGCACCTGCCTTGCAAGTGCAAGGTCCTGAGTTCAATCCCCAGTAGCACAAAAAAAAAAAAAAGGAAAAGAAAAACTCATTCAGGATATAATGTTGATAGACTTAAAATACAGACTTTTAAAAAGCTACACAGTTAAAAAATAAACTGGAGAAGAGCTATTCATGTTTCTATAAATAAAAAGTAGAAATAGAATCACCTGGGTTTTTTAAATTCCTGCTTTAGTATGTCAAAGACAAAACAACAGTATAAGGAAATAGAAAACAGATCAGTCTCAAGTCACTCAGTTTCAAATTCCATTCATAATACTCTATAACAAAATCCTCTTTGGCTGCTTAATCTGTTACTAGCATCTTTGAGAAGGTATTACAAATTTCAGGTTCCTCAAACAATTAGGAAAAAATCCTCAATCTGTATAATTGCTTAGTGTCTACTTTCATATGCAGGAGGATTTTTTTCCTAATATACCTATTGTAATCTTCTAGACAGAATGAAACTACAAAGGCAGATGAAAGAAAAAGAATGCCAGCCAATGCTTTGCCCTTTCTCTCCCTGTGTCAAGCGACCTGTTTTAACTTAAGTCTTTCTTTATCACTAACTTTTCACTTCAGGACCATT